TGATCCTTGGTCAAATTTTATTAAGACACGGAGGCTCCTATTATGCTGCACTCTTTCTTTATTTACCTCAGCAGCAAAGAAAAATAACATTAAATCAGTATAAAAGAAACCAGTAAATAATATGAGGTATATCTTCCTAGCAACAGGAACAGCCAATCAGCATCCTCTTTATAGCATAATAGGCAGTGTCCAGTATACTACTTCCTCTTTCTTTGCTGCTACCTCAGTTAAGTGACACTTGGTCCCATGGTTCTTAACTGTGGGATCTTTTACTTTACTTTATTCATATCATTACTGTGATTAATATAGTTATTACATTTTAATTATAATATTTTCATGTGTATACATATATTTAGTTACTTCATTTTAACGTAATTTGATTTATTTACTTCATTTGCGTCTGTTATATGCTTTATTATATATCCTTTGATAATGTATTTCCCCTCTGACCTCCCTGGCCCCAAGAATACCATCAATTGGGGCTCAGGGACGTCTTTGAGGATCTTTATATCCTGAATAGTGCCATTGTGCTGTTTTTTCCCTTAATTTATCTGTCTGGCTGCTGCTCTGCCACCAACTTCCAGAAATCCAAGTTGGGGTTTAGTTGTAGTGGCAGCCGGGCAGCTCCTTTGTTTTTATATTACAATTGCTATTTTTTTTCACTATTGTGAGTACTTTCATTTCTTTATCCTGTTTAGTTATTTATTTTTACTTGAGGGTTACTCAACCCTTTACTTTTGGTATTATTTTGCTTTATTCAGCCCCTTAGGTTTGTTTGTATATTTATGATGCAATCTGACAGGATCTTTCTGTGCCTTCTGGGTCTACAGCAAACATGCAGATTAATGTAGAAGCCTCTCCAGGTATCTCTGGAGATGAGGCTGAATTTCTGCTTTACTGATCCTGCTGACATGCAGGCTTTAATTGACACTTCCATGGCAAATGCAATGATAAGGCCCTGGTGTCAGGCCGCAAGGCCTCATATAAGGCTAAACACTCCTCCAAAACAATAGAGATGGACAGTACCATACCTGTCACGGATGGCGCGATTAATTTACCACCGCGCAAAAGAGCTACTAGTCGGGCAAAATCGACTAGACTTTGGAAAAGGGCAAAAGCCCAATTAAACTCTGAATCCAAGTTCAGTGATATTGAGGAGAAGTTCACCGAGTTCTATATGGAGGTGTACCTGTACCCACACCTGCGCTGCTTCAGCCTGGCCGCAAGGCCTCATATAAGGCTAAACACTCCTCCAAAACAATAGAGATGGACAGTACCAAACCTGTCACGGATGGCGTAATTAATTTACCACCACGCAAAAGAGCTACTAGTCGGGCAAAATCGACTAGACTTTGAAAAAGGGCAAAAGCCCAATTGAACTCTAAATCTGAGCTCAGGGATATTAAGGAGGAGTTCCCTGAGTACTATATGATATTGAGGAGGAGTTCCCTGAGTACTATATGGAGGTGTATCTGTACTCACACCTGCTCTGCTTCAGCCTGGCCGCAAGGCCTCATATAAGGCTAAACACTCCTCCAAAACAATAAAGATGGACAGTTCCATACCTGTCACGGATGGCGCGATTAATTTACCACCGCGCAAAAGAGCTACTAGTCAGGCAAAATCGACTAGACTGGAAAAGGGCAAAAGCCCAACTGAACTCTGAATCTGAGCTCAGTGATATTGAGGAGGAGTTCCCTGGGTCCTATATGAAGGATTCAGAGGATATTTCTGATCCTGATTATGAAATTACTGATGAAGAGGATGCTAATCCCGTTTGGGATAC